CCCCCCCCCCCCCCCCCCCCGGGAAGATGTGGCTCCTCGCAGCATGGGCGGCCTTTCTGGGTGGTGCAAATGCTGCTCGAGGCCAGTATTCAAGCGAGTGCTGCCGTTCATCCTCCTCGCCATTACCCACGTCATTACCCTCGCGCCGCACGCCGACGGACAGCATCGGGGAGCCACCACCCCTCACAGCCTACAGCCCAGTTCTTCACGGAGATCTTCCATCGGCTGGTCCATCGACTTCAACGCCCCTGCTGCTGGATCCGCCGACTTAACAATTCCTCCGTTCTTCGCTTCTACTGAGGCCACGACAACAACGACGAGTCTCTTCTGCCCAAGGACGAGAGGGACGACAATTGACAGGCAGTAACAGCCACCGAGTCACAGCAGAACTCGGTTGACGTCATGATGTCAGCCCCCCGTGTGGGGCTCGCTAATAACTACACCAAACCGCGACACACCCTCTTCAACGACTCGCAACGCCAAACAACACTCGGGCCGCCGAGCGGTCACATAGCCACAGAAAGCAGCGTTACGGATTGGCAGAGTGAGTGACAAGAGAGCCGCCGAGCGGCCAGTCACAGAGGACAGTACAGAAAATCGACAAGAAGCATGAGGATTGCCAACCCCTAGAAAAAAAGCTGCTTCCCCCGAACCATCCACCGCTACTGCAGTTACTGTTGCTGCAGACCCACTACGACTGATGTGCCACCACGTGTGCCACCATAATTGGGAGAGCACGGCACCCAGCACGAGCGCGAGCAGCAGCTTGAGCAACTGGGTGTGCGCCATTGTGCGACACGGTGGCAGGCAGCGCAGCCTGCTGTGTGCTGAATCCATTGTGTTCAAAACCGGTGTGTGTCCTGGGCGAAGCCTGGGAATCCACTTTAACATTCGACACGCCGGCGGGCGTGACGACTTGAGATGTTAAAGTGGGGTGCACACGCGGTGCACATGGGACAAAACTAGGAAAAGAATGTCCACCAGGCGCATGTAATAGAGGAGAATCACACGATGAAAGGCGGGGGTGCCAACGTCAAGGCGTGCCGTTCTCAGCAATGACAGCAAAGTGATCACACGGATGATACCTGCGGACGAGTACAATATACCGCTGCCTGACGTGCTTCTTATTACTGGCCCGCTTAAGGGACAGCAGTTCAGGGAGAACTGTGAGAAAGCTGTAGCAAACGTTAACGCGAATAGGTGTGCCAATCAAAGGCTCATCTGATTGGTCTAGTAGCGCGAATGATTGTCTGTATGAATGTAGTATGAATGTACTGACTCATTGGTCAGACAGAATTGAGTGAAGAATATCTCGCCAACCAGAGTGAGTGGGGTGATGATGTTGACACTGGATTGATTCGCTACGATGACGGTTCAGATGCGCCGGGCGCGGTCCGTGTCTGTCAGGTCACTGCAGAGAAAGCGGTAGGTCAGATACACAGTGGTCAGACAGAATTGAGTGAATCACATCTCACGAACCAGAGTGAGTGAGATAATGATGTTGACAATGGATTGACAGCTTTTGAGTGAGAGTTCAGATGCGCGCAGCGCGGTGGTCACAGCTGCTTTGGTTGCTGAGAACGGAGCGCTATTAGAAGGGTGCTCATTGTGAAAGAACGCGACCGAGTGAGGAGCTGCTGCTTGGTGTGTGAGAGGCTCTCACATGGGCGGTTCACATTTGCTTTTGATCAGCCGGTCGGGCTGCTTCTCTGCAATTTTATGTATGTGGGTCAACTGCCAAATGGGGGCCTGCTGCTACAGGGTGGCATGAAATGACACACGGAAAGTGAACACAAGGAAGAAACATGACGTAGAAGGACATTTCGCCTCGCTGCTGATGATATACCGCTGCGCTGATGAAGGGAGGGAGATGCCAGCATCTCTCCTATGTTCCAGAATTGAAGCAGCCTAGGGTAGCCGTTTACATGAAACGTAAGTAAGGATAGCTGCCAATTGGGGGTAGTTTGCCCTCAAATGGCAAGTGAGTTAAGGAAGGAGGAAAACGTGTGGAAGATCGAGTCAGAATCGTGAGAATGGTGATGAAAGTGAGTGAACTGGTGTTGGACCGTTGCATCTTTGGTTCAATGTTGCTTGGTGAAGCTGTTTCATGCTCCAGTGTGGCCAGTCAGGCCCTCTGGAGGTCTGTGTAGTGTCCGTCGTTCAAACTCAAAGCGGTCACACACTACCACTAGACACCGCTCCATCTGGGAGACCGCCCCGGAGCATTCTGGTGCATCTGCCGTGAAGCGCAATACGCGGCTGAGTGACATCGTGTTTGAACGGTTGACTGGACACAATGGCAAAGACCCGAAGTGGTCGGGATACGCAGAAGCCATCTTCTGCACGAGTGGCGAAGCCTGTTGCCAAGGCTAAGCCAAAGAAGACACTCAGTGTCAAGCGTCAGCAAGGCGCACGTGTGAAGGACCTGTTACGTCGAATGACCCGTCAATCCAAAGTGAAGTCCTCACACGATAATGTGGGCAGTGTCTCAGCGATACAAGAGGCACAGAACGAACCGAGTGTGTCAACACACACCACTGACGACACAGCAAGCATAGTTATGCTGCCACAGGCAGCCACGAATCGAGGGGAGGGTCATATACCACACCAACCACAGCATGGCACGCAGAACAGCAGCCCAACGGATGGGCTGGCGACACAGGTTGCTGCCATGCAGCATGTATTCAAACCAACAGTGACCCTCCGCCCATTCAGTGACAAGCCGGATGAGAGCATTTCTGACTTCATCACAGGGGTCAGGGCAGCACGCGTGATCAACCCGCACCAGTCTGAAGAGCACCTCACACGAGTCGTATATGAGGCTATACAAGGGCGTGCAAGAGACAAGTTGAATGAGTGGATCTGTTCGCAAGAGAAGGACCCGAACAGCGTGTATCTGAACGGCGATGGGCCAGCTAAACTCGAAGCTCTCTTGGGGTACTTAGAGGAGCAATTCGGCCAGAGTAAATCCCGAGCACTCGTCCAGAATGAGAAGCTGAAAGCCTGGAAGGCGAATCCAAAGCACGACTTCAAGCAATCACTCGACGAGTTCTCTGACCTTCATCGAGGTGCCGATATGAGTGAGCAGGACGCCGTCCGTCTGTTTGTCGAGTCTCTCCCACTCGAGATGAAGCGCCACATGCTCACCAGATGTGTCGACCCCTCCACATTCGAGTTCGTTAGGAAGCTGGGGGAAGAAGCGCAAGTGGCTGTGGGACGGTTGTTGAGCAAAAAGCGTCCACACAGGCAGGATGCGAATGAAGACGAGAGCGACGCCGAAAGAACAAGGCCTTCAAGAGCCCCTCGATGCGAGATAAATGCGCTTGAGCAACGACCTGACAAGAACAAAGCCAACCAAGTGGATGCCCCCAAGCGACGTGATGAGCCACAGCTGTCCATCGATGCCATCATGGCAGACGTGACCGCTCTTCAGGAGCAGATACGTGCCATGGACAGGCACAAGAAGGGGACGACAGGGCCTGCATCACATGCACAGAAAGACAGCAGGCAGTGGAAAGGACGACCCGCATTTTTGGGCAGGTGTCTTTATTGTCACTTACTTGGACACAGATGGAGGGATTGCAGGAGACGGCCACCTGATTGGGTGCCAGACGGCTGGCGGCCTTACCCAAACCGACCGCAACAGCCACGAGAACCTGCACTGACAGGAACAAACACAGTGCCGCAGAGATCTCTCCCTGTGTCGAACCTTCCGCAGCTGGGAAACGGATGAGTCCTCCGTGGCAGGGCGCGCGAGAGGACTCGAATCGATCAGTTGACGCCCTGAGCAAGACAACCATGAATGAATGTAATGCCATACGTGAATCTGTGAATGATGTGAATGAGTGTAGTGTCGTGCATGTACCTGATGTGTTGTGTAAAGTGCGTGAGCCGTTTGTGAAGGTGTCCATGTTGAGAGCAACTGCCGATACGTCACATATGCCCGGCCTGTCAGGATGCAACCATACAGACAGACACCCAGACAGCCAGACAGACAGACAGCCAGACACACAGATAGCCAGCAGTCCTGAGCCAGAGGATCCGAGAGGTGCGTCGGCTGCGCGACAAATGAGGTCCCCTGGTGCATCAGCGGATGGTGTGGGAGGTGCATCGCGTCTTGTATCTCCATCCCGTCAGTTGAGTGGAACTTGTATCCCTAGTCGATCAAGCATCCCTAGTCGTCGGTCTAGCGGACCAGCTGTCACTAGTCGATCAAGTCTGTCCCGAGCCGGTGGTTGTGGGCCGCCACCGATGACAATTGACGGAGGGCTGGAACTGCGTAACGAGGCCGGATCCAGCCAAGCCCTCGTTTGCGGCCGGCGGGAAGAGGGGACGCCTTCTTCTCCGCCTGAAAAGAGTGACGAATATGAGTGCCAGTTGAACCATATGCAATGCACTGATGATGCAGTGCAGGCGGCTCACTTACATGCATGTGAGGGAGATGTTGTGGGTGTTTTTGAGGAAGAGATGCAATGCTGCGCTGTAGAAGATAGGCGAGAGAGACGACGTGGGCTCGTGCTGACCGTTAGATGGCAGACCTACGTACGAATGAGAGCAAATGGTGTGAGAGTGGATGTGCTCGTTGATACTGGTGCCGACCTGAGTGTGATGAGCACCAAGATGCTAGACAAGCTGCGAGAGGAAGGGGACAGAGAAGTGACAATATGTCCAGGCGTCATGACGCTCAGCGTGCTACACCATGGTGAAGTGGCGGTCGAAAAGGTCGCAAGAGTCGCCTTGTGGCCTGACACAATAGACACGCAGACAGCAGCCACCAATCCGCTGTCTGTCGATTTCTATGTCATCGATGACTCCAAATGTGTCGCCTTACTGGGAGGCAAGGCGATTCGCGAAGAAAGGTTCATCGTTGACCATGAGATCAGGAAAGTACGTGTCACATCACGACCAGAATGGCCACCTATGGACATACACGCACCACAGACATGTGGGATAAATAGCCTGAGTGTCATGGCTTTTGGCCTGACTCGAATTGACGCACCTGCGGACGGGAAGAGATTGAGCTACCAGGTCCATATCACGGCAAAGACACCCATCCCAGCCGGCAGGGAGACATGGGTGCTAGCACGATTGAAGGGACCTGACAGACAGATAAAAGGGGAGGTTGGTCGTCTGTTAGTGCATCCAGCACTCGCATGCCACAGAGGCGCATGGCTTTGTGTAGATAACGAGACAAGCGAAGTGATATCCGGTCGTTGTGTGTATATCAGGATCAGCAATCCGTCACGTAAGAGGGTCGTCTTACCCAAGAATCACTTGCTGGGCTGGTTTGATGTACTCCCTTCCATGCCCACAATGCAACGACCTGTGGACGAAACGGGACGGATTGCAGCAGTCAAGGTGGCTGATGCTGATGTCGTACCTTGTGAGATTGACAGAGAGCGGATCGATCACTTGATGGCCACACAGCCACAAACAGAAGACGTCCGTAGCTACCCAGATGCTGACGAAATCAGCCATGGGATACAAGTCGGCAAAGGCCTGACGGACCAACAGAAAGAACAGGCAGTGGATGTGATCAAAGCAGCACAACAGACGGGCGTGTTTTCGTGCGACAAGAACGACCTTGGCCATGTCGATCCGTCTCTCGGTGCCCATCGCATCAGTGTCAGTGGCATTCCTCCGTACATGAAGCCTCGTAGGCTGGCTCAGATTGAGCATGAGGAAGCAGTGAAGATAGTGAGCGACCTGAAGAGCAGTGGTATCGTCGAAGCTGCTGATTCTGAATACAATGCAGCCATCGTAATGGTCAAGAAGAAAGATGACAGCTGGCGTCTGTGTGTGGACTATCGCTGGCTCAACGAAATCACTCAGAAGTCTCGCTACGCCCCACCTTTGATCGATCAATGTTTTGACTCCCTCCAGGGCATGTCGTGGTTCACGACGCTCGATGCGACGTCGGGCTTTTGGCAGGTCGAAGTCAGCCCAGAGG